GTTGAGGGGCATCTAGGTTGCTTCCAGGATCTAGCTATTACAAATAATGCTGCTATGAACATAGTGGAACAGACATCCTTGTTGTATGAATGGGCATCTTTTGGGTATATGCCTAAGAGTGGAATTGCTGGGTCTTGCGGTATACTGATTTCCATTTTCTGGAGAACACTTCATAATGATTTCCAAAGTGGCTGTACGAGTTTGCACTCCCACCAGCAGTGGAGGAGTGTTCCACTTTCTCCACATCCTCTCCAGCACAAACTGTCATTCGTGTTTTTTATTTAACCCATCCTGACAGGAGTAAGATGATATCTCAGGGTTGTTTTGATTTGCATTTCCCTAATGGCTAAGGATGTTGAGCACTTTCTCAAGTGTCTCAGTCATTTTAGACACCGCTATTGAGAATTCTCTGTTTAGTTCAGTCTCCAAGTTTTTAATTGGGCCTTTTAGTGATTTGGAGAATAGCTTCTTGAGTTTTTTGTAAATTTTGGAGACCAGCCTTCTGTCAGATGTGGGGTTAGTGAATATCTTTTCCCAATCCGTGGGTTGCCTTCTTGACTTGCTGACTGTGCCCTTTGCCTTACAGAAGCTACTCAGTTTCAGAACGTTTCATTATTAATTGTTGATCACAGTGTTTATGATACTGGTGTTGTGTTCAGGAAGCGGTCTCCTGTACCAAGTCGTTCAAGAGTACCTCCCACATTCTCTTCTAACAAGTTCAGTTTGGCTGGACTTATGTTGAGGCCTTTGATCCATTTAGAGTTAAGTTTTGTGCATGGTTATAGACATGGATCTATCTGCTGTCTTCTACATGCCAATAACCAGTTATGTCAGCACCATTTGTTGAAGATGCTATCTTTTTTCCATTGTATAATTTTAGTTTCTTTGTCGAAAATCAGGTGTTCATACGTTTGTGGATTGATCTCATAGTGTTCAATTTGATTCCATTGGTCTGCCTGTCTATTTTTGTGCCAGTACCAAACTGTTTTCAGGACTACAGCTCTATAATAGAGCTTGAAGTCTGGAATGGGGATGCCTCCACATGCTCCTTTGTTGAGCAGGGTTGTCTTGGATATCCTGGGCCTTATGTTTTGCCATATAAAGTTGAGAATTGTTCTTTTAAGGTCTGTGAAGAGTTTTGCTGGGATTTTCATGGGGATTGCATTGAGTCTGTAGATTTCCTTTGGCAGGATTGCCATTTGTAATACATTGATCCTACCTATCCAAGAGCATGGGAGATCTTTCCATTTTCTGGTGTCTTTTTAATTTCTTTCTATAAAGACTCAAAGTTCTTGTGATACAGGTATTTCACTTGTTGGTCTAGCGTTACCCCAAGGTATTTTATGTTTTGTGTGGCAATATTAAAGGGTGATGTTTCTCTGATTTCTTTCTTAGCCCTCTGTATACAGTACAGCTACTGATTTTCTTGAATTGATCTTGTATCCCACGACTTTGCTGAAGGTGTTAATCTACCTTAAGTGTTCCCTGGTAGAGTTTTTTTTGGGTCACTTATGTAAACTATCATATCATCTGCAAATAGTGAAAGTTTTACCTCTTCCTTTCCTATTTGTATCCCCTTGATCTCCTTTTGTTGTCTTATTGCTCTAGCTAGAACTTCGAGTACAATACTGAAGAGGTGTGGGGATCAGGGACAGCCTTGGCTTGTCCCTGATTTTGGTGGAATCACCTTGAGTTTCTGTCCATTTAGTTTGATGTTGGCTGTTGGTTTGCTGTTTATAGCTTTTTTCTCAAAGGACCAACTCTTTGTCACATTGATTCTTTGTCTTGTTTTCCTAGTTTCTGCTTTATTGATTTCATCCCTCAATTTGGCTTTTTCCTGGTGTCTACTCCTCCTGGGAGAGTTTGCTTCTTTGTGCTCTAGAGCTTTCAGGTGTGCTGTTAATTCTCTAGTGTAACTGTTCTCTAGTTTCTTTATGTGGGCGCCTAGTGCTATAAACTTTCCTCATAGCACTGCTTTCAAAGTGTCCCATGAGTTTGGATATGATGTGTCTTCATTCTCATTGAATTCTAGCAAGCCTTTAATTTCTTTTATCTTCATTCTTTGACCCAGAAGTGGTGCAATAGCACATTATTCAATTTCCATGAGTTTGTAGGGTTCCTGCAGGTTGTGTTGTGGTTGAACTCTAACTTTAAACCATGGTGGTCTGATAAGATACATGGATTTATTTCAATTTTTTGTAACTGTTGAGGATTGCTCTGTTGCCAAGTATGTGGTCAGTTATTCAGAAGCATCCATGTGGCGCTGAGAAGAAGGTATATTCTTTTGTGTTTGAATGGAATGTTCTATAGATGTCTGTCAAACCCAATTTGGTCATAACTTCTATTAGTTCCATTGTTTCTTTGTTAACTTTCTGTCTTGTATTCCTGTCTGGTGGTGAGAGGGGGTGTTGAAATCCTCCACTATAAATATGTGAGCTTCTATATGTGGTTTGAGATTTGGTAATGTTTCTTTTACGAATGTGGATGCCTTTGTGTTTGGGGAATAGATGTTCAGAATAGAGACTTCATCTTGGTGGATTTTTTCCTGTGATGAATATGAAATGACCTCCTTCATCTCTTTTTATTGATTTCAGTTTAAAGTCTAATTTGTTAGATATTAAGATTGCTACTCCTGTTTGTTTCTTGGGACCATTAGATTGGAAAATCTTTTCCCAACCCTTAACTCTGAGATAATGTCTGTCTCTGAGTCTGATGTGTGTTTCTTGTATGCACCAGAAGGATGGGTTCTGTCTTTGAATCCATTCTGTCAGCCTGTGCCTTTTTATTGGCCAGTTAAGACCATTAATATTGAGAGATGTTAATGACCTTTGATTAGTCACTCTCATTTGTTTTGGAATGGTTGCTGTTGGTGAAATTGTATGTGTATTTCCACCCCTTTTCTCTTTTTGGGTGTTGGTAAAGTGGGATTATCTATTTCCTATATTTTTCTGGTTGTAGTTAACTTCCTTGGACCGGAGTTTTCCTTCAAGAACTTTCTGTAGGGTGGGTTAGTGGATATGTATTGTTTAAATCTAGTTTTGTCATGGAATATCTTGTTTTCTCCATCTGTAGTGATTGTAAGCTTTGATGGGTATAGTAGTCTGGGCTGGCAGTCATGGTCTCCTAGTGTTGATAGAGTATCTATTCAGGACCTTCTGGCTTTCAGTGTTTCCATGGAGAAGTCAGGTGTAATACTTGTAGGTTTGCCTTTATATGTTATTTGGCCTTTTTCCTTAATTTCTCTAAGTATTCTTTCTTTATTCTGTATGCTGGGGTGTTGATTATTATGTGGCAAGGGGACTTCTTTGTGATCCACTCCATTTGGTGTTCTGTAAGCTTCTTGTATCTTCATTGGCATTTCTTTCTTTAGGTTGGGAAAGTTTTCTCCTATTTTTTGTTGAATATGTTTTCTGTCCCTTTGAGTTGGGTTTCTTCACCTTCTTTTATACCTATTATTCTTAGGTTTGGTCTTTTCACGGTGTCCCACATTTCCTGGATATTTTGTGTTAGGGATTTGTTGGTCTTAAGATTTTCATTGATTGATGAATCTATTTCTCCTAGTGTGTCTTCATCACCTGAGATTCTCTCTTCCATCTCTTGTATTCTGTTGGTTAAGCTTGCATCTGTAGTACCTGACCGTTTCCCCAGGTTTTCTATTTAGAGCATTCCTTCAGGCTGTGTTTTATGTTATTGTCTCCATATCACCTTTCAACCCTCGCACTCTTTGAGCTTTTTCTTGTAATATTTGCTTTGTGTTTTGTTCCATTTCTTGAATTTTTTGGATTTTTTATTTTTTGTCTTCTATTTCTTACATTTTGTGGTTAGTTTCTTCTTCCATCCCTTTAATGGATTTTGTCCCATCCTCTTTAAGGGCCTGTATCATTTTCATGAAGGTGCTTTACAGGTCATTCCCTTCTGCTTCATCCTCTTTGGGGTGTTCAGGTCTTACTGGTGTAGAACCTCTAGACTCTGGTTGTGTCATATTTGTTTTTCTGTTGCTGAGTGTGTTGTTACATTGCCTCTTCCACGTCACTTCTTCCAGTGGGTCTAGAAAGAGTCCCTTCCTCAAGTGGCGTGTAGGTGACCAGGGTTTCCTTTCAGTGGGTGTAAGCAAATCCAATATTCCCTTGTCTCCGTTCTCTGTCCTCTGCCCTCTGCCCTGAGTGTGGGCAGAAGAGGACCAGCTCGACTGCAGTTGACTTGGCTGCAGTCCCCAAGCCAGGCGATCCGAGAGAGGGCGAGTGGGATGAAATCGGGTCTAAGATGGGGACCTGGTGCTCACCTCTGCCTTCTGCTCTGAATGTGAGCGGATGTAGACTAGCTCTCTCTGCAGCTCTTGGTAGTTTGGTAGTCCATGGGCGGGGTTGGGTCGACCTAGATGAAGTCCCCAAGCCAGGGGATCTGAGAGGGGAGCATATTGACATCTTTAATATGATATTTAGTGGTCCAAATCTGAGATTGGCCAAAATTTTGATTGTCCTTTTTAGAAATTATTTTGTACAATGTCTTGTTGGTGTTTTGACAACAAACTGTTACTTTAATCCTAAGGAACTGAACTTTTACACAAGGAGCAGTGAATCATGGCACTGTTATCACTCCTGGAAAACACAGGTAGCATAGGACAGTCCAGTCCTCACATGTAATTCAAGACAGCATTTAGATCACTTGCCTTAGAAACTTTCAGACAAGAAGTAAAAGCTGCATTCAAAAGGGATAAACAAAATGCACATGTTAATTTATTGAAGATGTATGCATGCTGAACAATTGCATCAGCCTTTGTCACTTGCACCTGAGTTTGCAAACATCCTAGAGGAAATTTGACCTGGGAAGAGATTCATCCATGTCCCCACCACCACCACACTGTACTCTTAGGTCTCTATGTTCAGTACAGTGAATCCAAACCCCTCTTCTGCCTGTGCCAGTCAGTAGATCTCAGATAAGGTTCTGTGTGGGGAGAACCTGGGGAGTTTTGAAAGGATTGGGGTTAAACTGAATTCTTCAATTGACAATTCTCTCAGAATTTTCCAATGTAAACTTTCATAAGTAAAATGTGTATTTTTCATCTTTGTAAGGATTTTCTTCGAAACATCCCCGGAGGAGTATTCTCATCTAGCCTTTATGATAAATGGATGGCAGTCACTGATCTAGACAATGAGAAGGAAAGAATATCTTCCATCCAGAGGTAATGATGCACTCTTGAGTTGGAAGAACAAAATGCAGACAATGTATTCTTATAAATATGACTAAAGTCATGCTCAGCAACAAAGATTTATTTAGTCCACACATAATGTGCATCTTTTTAAAGGAGAACTAATGTCTAAGCACTTCAGAGTAGCAAACCCTGTAATCTAAGCATGAGACAGACGATTGTGAAGATTATCCTCAGAGTTATTCACTGATTCTAGGACAGCTGGGGCTACTTTATGAGACAGTCTCAGAAAACAAAACCAATGTCTTACTATTATGATTATATTGATTTTCTCCTAGTACAATTATTATAGAACATAAACCAATACATACAGCCTGAATAAATGACACAGTGAAAAAGAAATTCACTGTCCCACAGGACATACTTGGTCTTCCAGTCTATTAGTGAATGATTTAAATAGTCTTAAATGATTATTGAACAGACAGGTCCATGTCCAAATATGGACTGAATTCTATGAAACATTTCTGTGTGTATGAACTCCTGGAATGAACTCTCAGATACCAGATAAGATTTGGGTTCTAATCTCCACACAGAAATGCATTTTACCAAAAATATGGCGGTGGTTGTGCACACCTTTAGTCCCAGCCCTCAGGAGGCAGGAGCAGGCAATCTCTGTGAGTTTGAAACCAGCCTGGTCTACAGAGCAAGTTTCAGTACAGTCTCCGAAGCCACAGAGAAACCCTGTCTCAAAAAAAACAAAAAATATATTTGGATAAATTTTGTTCAAATGAAAACAAAGCAATATTTTAGGACATGTTACTGTTTCTTTTTAATCTCAATTAACTTTATATGGTATACAAAATTTTTTCTGTTCCTCTTTTCCATATTTAGAACTTCATTAGTAATATTTCCCATTTAAAAAAATTTGTTTCTGTTCAGTCTTTTAGAGCAACTGCCAACACCAAACGTGGTCCTCTTGAGACAGCTATTCCAGGTCTTACACAGCATTGAGAGACATTCATCAACTAACTATATGACATCTTATAACTTATCTGTGTGTATGGCACCCAGTCTTCTGTGTCTGCCTAACCGTAGCATGTTGGAATTAGAAAAAGGAATCTCAAAACAGGTAATGATATGTATAACTTTGTGCTTTGGTTCAGTACAATATTCTGCCCTAGTGTTTTGCAAGGAAGGTTCTCTTATTCATTTCTTCCCTTTAAGAGAGACAGAAGAGTAACCATTTCTGAGTTAGGCATCTTCCTCGTTCTATAACAAAAATAGATGAAACTATTCTATCTGGAGATGAATTGTTCATCTTCACCCATTTTTCAAATTTCTAACTTGTCCATAATTGATCCTATACATTTTCATCCCATGAGAAGAATATTTTAAATAGTTTGCCTGATCCAAAAATTGTGTACTTTTGTGAGGAATCAGAAAAGAATGAAGAGAGGCTAGGGACCCATCTTACTATCCATCTCTAGGCCTTGCTTCTTCCATCAGACCTCCACGTTAATCCAGGATCAAGCCTTCAACATGTAAGCCTCTTGGGGGACATTGAACACTAAACTAGGGCACGTTTCATCTTTGATAATGGAAGAAGAAGCCAAGCAAATTTTCTAGATTTTCCTGGAAGTAAAAGTGGCTAATCAATTGACTAAGCTCAACTAAACATTCAGCTGCTGAACACCAATGCATGGAGGCAGTGATGGTGTTTCTTTGCAGATGCCTTCTTCCTACCAAGAAGACCCAGGGAGCTTTGGTGCCCAAAGTATACACAATTCATGTAAAACCTGAGTTCACTTGTTTTCCTTTCATTTGGTGGTTTGTAAATCTCAACAAAAACTCTATTCTTCACCCCATACTCTTTTTTTTTTCGTTATTCGAGACAGGGTTTCTCTTTATTGTTTTGGAGTCTGTCCTGGAACTCGTTGTGTGAACCAGGCTGGCCTCGCAATCACAGAGATCTGCCCGCCTCTGCCTCCCTAGTTCTGGGATTAAAGGCGTGTGCTACCAATGGCCAGCTCACCCCATATTAGTTTATTAGTTCTCTTTCTCCTTGTAAGGACAAAAACACCCGAGAATGTGGGGGATTTAGCTCACAGCTTGACCTGATACAGTCCATTACATGTGAAGTACACGTTCAGGGACTTGAAGTACTGTACAATTGGCTGTGCAGTCAGGAAGCAGAGAACAAGGGGAGGAGTGCTAACCTGGCTTCTTCATTCACTCCCTTTCTGCTCATTCTGACTTCATGTGCAAAGGTTGTGCATCCTCTGTCAGGATGAGTCTTCGTCTTTAACTGATCCTCTGTACACACCTTCAGAGACAGACACGGAGCTGTGTCTTCTCAGTGAATATAATGCCATTCTAGTACAGCGAAGCTTGATCATCATACTGAATACCTGAAACACTAACAAATTACACTTTATTGATTGTATTTTAAGATCTGTTCTAGATACTATTGTAACTTACACAGTTTACTCTTAAAAGAAAACAACTCATATATTTTATAGCAATTTTGATTAGAAATTTGAATTTCAAAGTTCCCTACCTCAGTCTTCTATGTGAAATGTGGTTCCTAACCATATCAGATGACAGCTGCCATGTTTGTCCTTTGTTGTCAACAGATTTCTCTTGTACAGTACTTTATTGAGAACTTTGAAAAGATATTTGAAGACAACACGAATATACATTTAGGAGAAAGCTCAGTGATGCCTAGTAACGGCAAGGAGCCTTTGCATACTTCCATTAACGGCGAGGAGACTTTCGATATTTCCATTAACCCCGAGGAGACTTTGGATATATCCATTAATGGTGAGGAGCCTTTGGATACATCCATTAATGGCGAGGAGACTTTCGATACATCCATTAACCGTGAGGAGCCTTTGGATACATCCATTAACGGAGAGGAGACTTTCGATATTTCCATTAACCCCGAGGAGACTTTGGATATATCCATTAATGGTGAGGAGCCTTTGGATACATCCATTAATGGCGAGGAGCGTTTGGATATATCCATTAATGGTGAGGAGCCTTTGGATACATCCATTAACGGAGAGGAGACTTTCAATATTTCTATTAACCCCGAGGAGACTTTGGATATATCCATTAATGGCGAGGAGCGTTTGGATATATCCATTAATGGTGAGGAGCCTTTGGATACATCCATTAATGGTGAGGAGTCTTTGGATACATCCATTAATGGAGAGGAGCCTTTGGATACATCCATTAATGGTGAGGAGACTTTCGATAAATCCATTAACCATGAGGAGCCTTTGGATACATCTATTAATGGAGAGGAGCCTTTGGATACTTCCATTAACGGTGAGGAGACTTTCGATACATCCATTAACGGTGAGGAGACTTTCGATACATCCATTAATGGTGAGGAGACTTTCGATACATCCATTAATGGCGAGGAGCGTTTGGATATATCCATTAACGGTGAGGAGCCTTTGGATACATCCATTAACGGAGAGGAGACTTTTGATATTTCCATTAACCCCGAGGAGACTTTGGATATATCCATTAATGGTGAGGAGCCTTTGGATACATCCATTAATGGCAAGGAGCATTTGGATATATCCATTAATGGTGAGGAGCCTTTGGATACATCCATTAACCATGAGGAGCCTTTGGATACATCCATTAATGGAGAGGAGCCTTTGGATACATCCATTAATGGTGAGGAGACTTTCGATACATCCATTTGCCATGAGGAGCCTTTGGATACATCTATTAATGGAGAGGAGCCTTTGGATACTTCCATTAACGGTGAGAGACTTTCGATACATCCATTAACGGTGAGTACATCCATTAATGGCGAGGAGCGTTTGGATATATCCATTAATGGTGAGGAGCCTTTGGATACATCCATTAACGGAGAGGAGACTTTTGATATTTCCATTAACCCCGAGGAGACTTTGGATATATCCATTAATGGTGAGGAGACTTTGGATACATCCATTAATGGCAAGGAGCATTTGGATATATCCATTAATGGTGAGGAGACTTTCGATACATCCATTAACCATGAGGAGCCTTTGGATACATCTATTAATGGAGAGGAGCCTTTGGATACTTCCATTAACGGTGAGGAGACTTTCGATACATCCATTAACGGTGAGGAGACTTTCGATACATCCATTAATGGCGAGGAGCGTTTGGATATATCCATTAATGGCGAGGAGCGTTTGGATATATCCATTAACGGTGAGGAGCCTGTGGATACATCCATTAACGGTGAGGAGCCTTTGGATACATCCATTAATGGCGAGGAGACTTTCGATATATCCATTAACGGTGAGGAGCCTTTGGATACTTCCATTAAAGGAGAGGAGCCTTTGGATACTTCCATTAACAGTGAGGAGACTTTGGATATATCCATTAAAGGCGAGGAGGTTTTGGATAACTCCATCGATTTGCGTGAGTTGGATGTTGTCCAGGAAGATGAGAAAACCTGTGCTAGTGAAAAGACACATCCCAGTCGTGAGGCAGAGCCACCGCATCCACCTGCTGCTCCTCATGATGGTGAATACACAGGTGAGAGTTCATCTACACTCTGACAATGAAAATCAGGGTTAGAGGATACGCAGACACTCAGTAACAGCTGTTTCCCTGACAGCAGCATCAAAACATACTATATCAGCATAGATTAGACAACTTTTCTCAATAAAACTGTACATGGAAGCTCAGCCTTGTGCACGGTCAATATGCCCTATTGAAACCTATGTGAGGTGCCCGGTAGAGACACGTTTGTATTTGTCTTCTCTCTTCCCAGTGGTCCCAGAGAACACCCAGATAAAGGCACCATAATAAGAGATATGCTATCCCGAGACTCTTTTTTTTTTCAAATTATGAAGCTGTTGGCCTTGCTAGTTTCTTACTGGCTAGCTCCGACTTAAGTATTTATCCCATAATTGTTAATCTAAGTATTTCTCTTACCGGAGAAGAGTTCCAGATGTTTATATCTCTGGTGGGCTACATCGTGACTCCCTGTGTTTCTCCTACCAAGAGTCCTCTTCCAAAGACTCTTATACTCAGCACATCGGCCATTTGTGGAAATCTGTGTTAATCACCATTAACTGCAAAGACACTTTTCTGACAGTGTTGTGTGATAGGCTGATCTATGAGTATAAAGGCACACAATTAGCAGTCACTTTAATACTATTCACAGTTAAGCACTAGCATTTCCAGTATAACTCCTGACCCATGTACCAACACAGGTTTATAGTATGGGGTTTATCTTGCCTGTTGGAACCTCAAACCCATTCAGAATGAGGTTGGCAAGCCTCATGTCACCTGTGACCCTATTTCTCCACTGACTATACCTTGCCAGGCCAGCGTTATAGTAGTTCATAAGGTCACAACTGGGTATTTCTGTTACTTTACTCTTCCCGTAGTGTGCATAGCACAGTAGAGCTGTGTTAGAGCATTATATCAGTTTCAAAATGATTCTCTGCTTCTGTGAGTCCAGCAATAGAGTCTAACCCAAATTCTGGAGAGTAAGCCAGATCACTGGCAGTGGTCTGTATGGTTTGGGGTTCTGTGAGATCCTCTCAGTCCAACGATTTCCAAGCATTATCCTATTTCTGGCATTGGAGGTTTTATTTGTTAGCTTATGGAGTCTACTGGGGACAATATCACCAAAACATAAGATAACTCAATTTAAACATTTTAGTAAGTAAATGTATATATTTTAGGAAGCATATAAAGCAGTATATTTCCATATCACAATTTCAAAACATGTTCAGGATTAATTATCCTTTTTATAAACTCTCCTATTCTGCCTTCTCATACTTAATCTATTTAACCTTTGTGTTACATTACTCCCTTTGCCCCATATGTTTAATATACTCTGTTTTGAAATGCCTTTCCAAAGTCCTTACTTAGTTCCCAGCTTCTATATCAATTCCAAAAAAATACACTTATCTACAGTTTTGAGTACCCAATTTACTGTTAGATTGTAGAGCCAAGATGCACTACCCTCCTATGCAGTGCCTTGTACAGTGAGCAGAGTACATTTAAGGAGTAACCTCCCCAAAGGCCATGTGAACATTTAAATGATAGTATTTGTGGGATTGCAGCGTCTTCTACATGACCTGTCTGTACAGGTTTACCTACTTAGCACATGTGACCATTTATATACACCTTAGTGTGCTCTGCTGTGAGACCGTCAGAATTCTGAAATGATGATCTCCGTTCTCCTCAGATGCAGAGACAACGGTTAGGAGAAGCTCCCTCCTAAGTCAGATATTTCGCCGTGGAGCGTCCACCTGCCATGACTGTGCGTTTTCCCGAGTTCCAGCCTCAACTCCTGGTCGCCTCTTTAATAACCCTCTAGGGGCTATTTGTCAAGATGGCAATCTGCCGACTTCAATTATGGTGAGCATGGTGTTTTTTCTCTGTGGCCGTGTGAGCAGGAAAGTCTACAAATGGGAGAGCATTCTCCTTAGAGTAGCACTAAGAGGACATTATAGGCAAACATCAGTTAGATGGGGAAGCCTCCAAGTATCACAATTTAGGAAAAGTATCCCGAGATTGTTTTGATGAATCATGGAAATCACAACAGGAAAATGCCTTCTAGTTCCTTCTCCTGTCCAGCAAGGTACACACTGACTCTCTGAGTCTAATCAGCCCCTAAGATGTGATGCTCTGAAGCATCCTCACCTCATAATCAGTTTCTTTCTTGAAACCCACAGTGTCATCAGACATAACCATATGATCATTTCGTTGTAGCCTGACCACTCTTCTAATCTAAATATCTGGCATATTTTGGTTTGCATACCAAGAGCTTAAATATAAAACCTTACCATTTGCTATGTATTAATCCTCTTAACCTGAAGAATTACGTCTTTCAAATTTTGAACTATGTTACTCTAGAAAGTAACCAAATTGTCAGTAGAAACAAAGAATGCCCAACACCGTCACCGTAGTGATGTTTACACTGCATAGGAACCAGTCTATAATTATCAGACTCATGAATGATAGTAGAGTAACCTTAATTAAGTCATAAGACGTGGAAGTAACCCATGATGTCACCATCCAGCCTATGCCAACTCAATCACCAAAAGCCCTAGTATCATTGTGTATGGTACCCAAGCTTCCATGGTAAATCACAGACTGGGTAAATTGTGATTCCCATGGCTTCATGGCATAGTTGAAACTATGAAGACAGCAGAAGGAGATGAAAGGCTGACTCAAAGAAATACAAGTAGAAAAGGGCACTGTAAATGTCAGTTTGAGCCTTGTTATATTTAGAGCCCAGGACATAATGAAAGTAGGAATAGGGTCATAATCAGAAAAGACTCCAAAGGGAAATAGGATGACACCCAGGGGAAGGGCGTTCATAGGAAGAACAGCAAAGTACAAGAAACAGTGTCCAGGTCTAGAGACAGATTTATTTGAGACCATCCATCACTGCAGATGAAAATCTGCTTCCAACGTGTTCCCATTTCTCAGCATGAAATGTTAGAGTGGTTCTGAGAGAGGAACCCATGTAGGATCACTAGATTCAATCAGGAAGAGACTGGGCCTGACAGAAGCTTTTGAAACCTCAATCCCAACCCAAGTGACACACTTCTTCCAACAAGCCACACCTCCTAATAGTCTCAAATAGCATACTCTCTGGTGACTAAAAATTCAAATATATGGGCCTATGGGGACCATTCCCATTCAAACCACCACACACCCATTGCCTTGGGACCCATGAAGACTCATGCTGCTGCCCTGCAACTGTGGATCTATAATGGCAGGTTCTTATCTTTCCCCACACAGACTATGCTGTCTCTCCTGGAGGAAACTGGACCTGCTGTTGAAGGCATTTTTAGTAAATCAGGAAGTATTGCAGAATGCCAAGACATTAAGGACAAGCTGGATTTGGGAGAAGAAGTAGATCTGAGGGAGAAATCCATCCTTGTCGTGTCTTCAGTTTTAAAGGTATTTGGGAAGGTGCCTGAGAATGACGACCGGCATGGCCAGCGCTAGAGTTTGCACAACTCACTAATGAGTACTCAGTCAGCAGCACTCCTAACATGCCCTGAGTTCATTACAAGCAGTGGCACACTGGAGTTTATCTTGGTACAATTTTTTGAGTAAATTGATTCCTGTCTCAGCAATGAACTCTGCAGTCATTGCCCCAAAAATCCATACAAGAGGGATTTGTGCTCTGAGATGATTTATGTTAATTTACATGATGAAAAATTATATCTGATGTTTCCAAACTCTCAGCTGTCGCCATGGCTACTGGGTTCTCTGCCTCCAACCACTGGGACCACAAATAAAGAAAACCATGGCAGAACTCTATCTTCTACAATGGTTTTGTATTACATTAATAGGAAATGCACTCTGTTATGTTCGTTTTCTCACTTCTTCTATCATGACATACCCTCAGCTCACACTATTATGAATTGTCCTGACCCGCAGGACACTCAACGTGGGTCTGATGAACACCTAGGAAAAAGATGGGGGGCAGGGGACACAAGGACAGATGCCAAGACAAGAATCTGATCAAGGCGACAACCTTATTCATCCCAAAGGGATTTATATAATGGAAGGGAGGAGGGGAAGGAATGGGTGATGTGCTGTAGCTGCGATGAACCTGGCGGAGCGAAGGTCAGTGGTATAGGTAGGGCATCGTGTGTCCTCTGGTAACCTACCTACAGTTTCTAACTTATCTTTCACATTCCACATTCTATTAAGCATATGCCCTAGATAAGCCACAGGTCTGTTTCTGGAATATGTACGCTAGCAGGGTGGTCCCTCTGAGGGCTGAGTCACGTGTTATGAGTACCTGAGGCAGCCGTACCTGTTTGATGGCCGGAGCAGTTACTAAGTTACACAATCATGATAATTAATCCGAGGGCATTGCTGGAGATAGACAATAATAAGCATTTCAGTGACATGTAGAAGGACCAGCATAAACAGGTTATCAGGAAGAATCTGAAAACTCAATAGGAAATCAACATTTCATTGAAGAGATAAGATGAAAACTCAGGCTGGCATCTATGTCGAGCTGTCTTGCCTCTGTTTCTTGAGTTCTGGATTTAAACCTGCATGGTACCAAAATTGCCTCAGTTTCACAGATTTTAGGAGGTAGATTTGCTAATTTATGATTTAATCATCATCACCTTTACATACTGACATATTTCGTGTTGCCATTAAAGTAGACAGCATATTGACATCTTTTTAAAATTATTTTTCTTTAAAATAGAAACATGCATGCTTCAAATGTCAGTCCCAAGTCCTCCCTTTCTTCCTCCACCAACCCCAACCCCACCATCCTCCCCCAGCCAAATCCCCACATTATTCCCCAGGGAGGCTGAGGCCCTCCTTGGGGGAATTTCCAGAGATAATCATTTCATCCAGGGCAGGACCCATGTCTCCAGGCTGAGATAGCATCAATCTACATGGAATGGGCTCCCAGAGTTCATTTGTATGCCATGGTATACACTAATCTACTACAGAAGGCTCCAGAGATTTCTGAGGCCTCCTCACTGACTCTGCATTCATGGAGTTTGGATCAGTCCCCTGTTGGACTCTTAGGCATCAGTCTGGGGTTCAAGAGCTCTCCCTTGCCCAGTCAGCTGTCTTTGTGGGTTCCACCAGCACGGTCTTGACCCCTTTGCTCATCACTCCTCCATCTCTGTCACTTGGATCCAGGGGGTCAGTTCAGTGTTTAGCTGTGAGTATCTATCTGTCTCTGCTTCCATCAGTCACAGAATGAAGGTTCTAGAATGTCATATAAGGTAGTCATCAACCTTATCATCAGGTAGGGCTATTCATATCGTATCTCCCCTATTACATATTTTCCCAGTTGGTGTTATTCTTGTATACATCTGAAATCTCACTTGTGTCAGCTCTCTCCTCAAAGCTATAATGACTCCTACTATTATGGTATGGCTCATCCTGGTCTCCTCTATTCTTATCCTGACTCAACCTTCCTGCTCCCCCATGTCTTCTTCTACCCTTCTCTTATACGCCTCTCATTTTTCTGGTTCCCTCTCCTCTCCCCCCATGTTTCCAATCTGCTCAGGAGATCTTGCCTCTTGCCACTTCTCTGGGATATAATGCATATCTCTTGGGAAACTCCCTGTTTCCCTGACTCACTGGCCTTGGGATTGTAGGCTGACACTCCCCTGATCCATGTCTAAAATCCATATATGAGTGAGTGCAAACCATATTTGTTCTTTTGTGACTGGGATACTTCACTCAGGATGATTTCTTCTAGTGGCGTATATTTGCTTGCAAATTTCAAAATTCCCTTGTTTTGTTTGTTTGTTTTTTTACACTTCTGAGTATTATTCCATTGTGTAAACGTACCACATTTTCTCTCTCCCTCTTCAGTGAGGGGCATCTAGGTTTCTTCCAGGATCTAGCTATTACAAATAGAATTCTCTATTTAGTTCATTCTCCCACTTTTTAATTGGGTCCTTTGGTGTTTTGGAGAACAGCTTCTTGAATTCATTTAAATTTTGGAGAACAGCCTTCTGTCAGATGTGGGCTTAGTGAGTATCTTCTCCCAATCTGTGGGTTGCCTTTTTGTCTTGCTGACTGTGCCCTTTGCCTTAAAGAAGCTACCTAGTTTCAGGAGGTCCCATTTATTAATTGTTGATCTCATTGTTTGGGCTACAGGAGTTATGGTCAGGCAGTGGTCTCCTGTACCAGTTCGTTCAAGAGTACCTAACACTTTCACTTCTACCAAGTTGTGTGTGACTGGTCTTATGTTGAGGCTTTGATCAATTTGGACTTAAGTTTTGTGCATGGTTATAGACATGGATCTATCTGCTGTCTTCTACATGCCAAAAGCCAGTTATGCCAGCACCATTTTTTGAAGATGCTATCTTTTTTCCATTGTATAATTTTAGTTTTTTGTCGAAAATCAGGGGTTCATAGGTTTGTGAATTAATCTCAGAGTGTTCAGTTTGATTCCATTGGTCTGCCTGTCTATTTTTGTGCCAGTACTATATTGCTTTCAGGACTGCAGCTCTATAATAGAGCTTGAAGTCTGGAATGGTGGTGCCTCCAGATGCTTCTTTGTTGAGCATGGTTGTTTTGGCTATCCTGGGTCTTTTGTTTTGCCATATAAAGTTGAGAATTGTTTTTTCAAGGTTGTGAAGAATTGTGCTGGGATTTTGATGGGGATTGCATTGAGTCTGTAGATTTCCTTTGGCAGGATGGCCATTTGTACTACATCGATCCTACCTATCCAAGAATTTGGGAGATCTTTCCATTTTCTGGTGTCTTCATGATTTCTTTCGTTGAAGACTCAAAGTTCTTGCAATACAGGTTTTTCACTTGTTTGGCTAGCATTACCCCAAGGTATTTTATCTTGTGTGTCGCAATTGTAAAGGGTGATGTTTCTCTGATTTCTTTCTTAGCTCTCTTATCTTCCGTATATAGTAGGGCTACTTATTTTCTTGAGTTGATCTTGTATCCCAACACTTTGATGAAGGTGTCAATCAGCCGTAAGGGTACTCTGGTAGAGTTTTTTGGGTCACTTATGTAAACTATCTTATCATCTGCAAATAGTGAAAGTTTCACCTCTTCCTTTCCTATTCGTATCCCCTTGATCTCCTTTTGTTGTCTTATTGCTCTAGCTAGAACTTCGAGTACAATATTGAAGAGGTATGGGGAGAGGGGCAGCCTTGTCTTGTTCCTGATTTTAGTGGAATCGCCTTGAGTTTCTGTCCATTTAGTTTGATGTTGGCTGTTGGTTTGCTGTTTATAGCTTTTTTCTCAAAGTCCAACTCTTTGTTACATTGATTCTTTGTCTTGTTTTCCTAGTTTCTGCTTTATTGATTTAGCCCTCAATTTGATTTTTACCTGGCATCTACTCGTCCTATATGAATTTGCTTCTTTGTGTTCTAGAGCTTTCAGGTGTGCTGTTAATTCTATAATATAACTATTCTCCAGTTTCTTAATGCGGGTAGCTAGTGCTATGAAATTTCCTCTTAGCACTGCTTTCAAAGTGTCCCATCCCATAAGTTTGGATATGTTGTGTGTTTATTCTCATTGAATACTAGGAAGCCTTTAATTTGTTTTTTATGTATTCTTTGACCCAGAAGTGGTGCAATAGCTCATTTATCAATTTCCATGAGTTTGTAGGGTGCCTGCAGTCTGTGATGTTGTTGAACTCTTATCTTAAATCATGGTGATCTGATAAGATACATGCAGTTATTCCAATTTTTTTGTACCTGTTGAGTTTTGCTCTGTTGCCAAGGATGTGGTCAGTTATTGAGAAGCTTCCCTGTGGGGCCGAGAAGAAGGTATATTCTTTTGTGCTTGAATGGAATGTTCTATAGTTGTCTGCCAAACCCAATTGGGTCATAACTTCTATTAGTTCCTTTGTTTCTTTGTTAAGTTTTTGTCTTGTATTCCTGTCTAGTGGTTAGAGTGGGGTGTTGAAGACCACCACTCTAAGTGTGTGAGGTTTTATTTGTGGTTTGAGTTTAGGTAATGTTTCTTTTACGAATGTGGATGCCTTTGATTTGGGGAATAGTTGTTCAGAATTGAGACTTCATCTTGGTAGATTTTTCCCGTGATGAATATGAAATGACCTGTTCATCTCTTTTTATTGATTTCAGTTTAAAGTCTAGTTTGTTAGATATTAATATTGCTACCCCTGTTTGTTTCGTGGGACCATTTGATTGGAAAATCTTTTCCCAACCCTTCATTCTGAGGTAATGTCTGTGTCTGAGGCTGATGTGTGTTTCTTGTATGTACCAGAAGGATGGGTTCTGTCTTTGAATCCATTCTGCCAGCCTGTGCCTTTTTATTGACCAGTTAAGACCATTAATATTGAGAGATATTAATGACCTTTGATTAGTCATTCTCATTTGTTTTGGAATGGTTGTTGTTGGTGAAATTGTATGTGTATTTCCACCCCTTTTCTGTTTTTGGGTGTTGGTAAAGTGGAATTATCTATTTTCTATGTTTTTCTGGTTGTAGCTAACTTCCTTGGAATGGAGTTTTCCTTCAAGAACTTTCTGTAGGGTGGGTTAGTGGATATGTATTGTTTAAGTCTGGTTTTGTCATGGAATATCTTGTTTTCACCCTCCGTAGTGATTGAAAGCTTTGCTGAGTATAGTAGTCTGGGCTGGCATCCGTGGTTTCTTAGTGTTGATAGAGTATGTATCCAGAACTTTCTGGCTTTTAGAGTTTCCATGGAGAAGTCAGGTGTAACACTTATAGGATTGCCTTTATATGTTATTTGGCCTATTTCCTTAATTGATCTAAGTATTCTTTCTTTATTCTGTATGCTTGGAGTCTTGATTATTATGTGGCAAGGGGACTTTTTGTGATCCACTCTATTTGGTGTTCTGTATGCTTCTTGTACCTTCACTGGCATGTGTTTCTTTAGGTTTGGAAAGTTACCTCCTACGATTTTGTTGAATATGTTTTCTGTCCCTTTGAGTTGGGTTTCTTCACCTTCTTCTATACCTTTATTCTTGGGTTTGGTCTTTTCACGGTGTAGCATATTTGCTGGATATTTTGTGTTAGGGGTTTGTTGGTCTTAAGATTTTCATTGATTGGTGAATCTATTCTCCTAGTGTGTCTTCAACACCTGAGATTCTCTCTTCCATCTCTTGTATTCTGTTGGTTATGCTTGCATCTGTAGTACCTGACCATTTCCCCAGTTTTTCTATTTTCAGCATTCCTTCAGACTGTCTTTTATGTTATTGTCTCCATATCAGCTTTCAACCGTTGCACTCTTTGAGATTTTTCTTGTAATTTTTGCTTCGTGTTTTGTTCCGTTTCTTGCATTTGTTGGATTTTTGTTTTTTCTCCAATTTCTTGCATTTTGTGATTAGTTTCTTCTGCCACGTCTTTAATGGACTTTGTCACATCCTCTTTAAGGGCCTGTATCATTTTCATGAAGGTGTTTTAAGGACATTTCCTTCTGCTTCATCTGCATTGGGGTGTTCAGTTCTTACTGGTGTAGAATCTCTATACTCTGGTTGTGTCATATTTGTTTTTCTGTTGCTGAGTGTGTTGTTATATTGACTCTTCCACATCACTTCTTCCAGTGCTTGTAGAAAGAGTCTCTTCCTCATCTGGAGTGCAGGCGACCAGGGCTCCCTTTCAGAGGGTGTAAGCAAATCCAATATTCTCTTGCCTCTTCTCTCTATCCTCTGTCCTCTGCCCTGAGTGTGGGCAGAAGTGGACCAGCTCTACTGCAGTCGACCTAGCTGCAGTCCCCAAGCCAGGTGATCCGAGTGAGGGCGACTGGGAGGAAATCGGGTCTAAGATGGGGACCCGGTGCTCAACTCTGCCTTCTGCCCTGAGTTTGGGCAGAAGTGGAGCAGTTCAGTTTGCAGTTGCTGGTAGTTAGATAGTCTATCTGGGAAGAGGGCATCTACCTTGCTGCCGTCCCCAAGCCAGGGGATCCGAGAGGGGAGCATATTTATATCTTTAAAGTGATATTTAGTGGTCCAAATCAGAGATTGGAGTAAATATTGATTGTCCTTTTTAGAAAATATTTTGTACAATACCTTGTTCGTGTTTTGCCAACAAACTGCTACTTTAATCCTAAGGAACTGAACTTTACACAATAAGGAGTGAATCATGGCACTTCTGTCACTCCTGGAGAACACAGGTAACATAGGACAGTCTAGTCCTCACCTATAATTCAAGACAGCATTTAGATCACTTGTCTTAGAACTTTTCTGACGAGGAAGTAAAAGCTGAATTCAAAAGCGATAAACAAAATGCACATGTTAATTTATTGAAGATTTATACATGCTGCACAATTGCACCAGCCTGTCTCACTTGCACCTGATTTTGCAAACATCCTAGAGGAAATTTGATCTGGGAAGAGATTCATCTACGTCCCCACCACCATGACAATCTACTCTTAGGTCTCTACATTCAGTAAAGTGAATCCAAACCCCTCTTTTGCCTGTGCCAGTAGGTAGATCTCAGAAAAGGTTCTGTGTGGGTGCAGCCTGGGGAGCTTTGAATGGACTGGGGTTAAGCTGACTTCTTCAGTTGACAATTCTCTCAAACTTTTGTAAAAATAATGTGTATTTTTCATCTTTGGAAGGATTTTCTTCGAAACATCCCCGGAGGAGTATTCTCTTCTAGCCTCTATGATACATGGATGGCAGTGACTGATCTAGACAATGAGAAGGAAAGAATATCTTCCATCCAGAGGTAATGATGCACTCTTGAATTGGAAGAACAAAATGCAGACAATGTATTCTTATAAATATGACTAAAATCATGCACAGCACCAGAGATTTATTTAGTCCACACATAATGTGTACTTTTTAAAGGAGAACAAATGTCTAAGCACTTCAGAGTAGCAAACCCTGCAATCTAAGCATGAGACAGACGAATGTGAAGTTTATCCTGAGTTGTGAACCAGAGTACGAGTTATTCTGTAGCTGGGGCTACATTATGAGACAGTCTCAGAAAACAAAACGAATGTCTTATTATTACGATTATATTGATTTTCTCCTAGTACAATTATTATACAACATATACAGCCTGAATAAATGATACAGTGAAAGGAAATTCACTGTCACACAGGACATACTTGGTCTTCCAGTCTATTAGTGAATGATTTGAATAGTCTTAAATGGTTATTGAACAGACAGGTCCATGTCCAAATATGGACTGAATTCTATGAAACATTTCTGTGTCTATGAACTCCTGGAATGAACTCTCAGATACCAGATAAGATTTGGGTTCTAAACTCCACACAGAAATGCTTTTTACCTAAAAATACGGCGGTCGTGGTGCACCCTTAAGTCCCTGCACTCAGGAGGCAGAGGCAGACAATCTCTGTGAGTTTGAAACCAGCCTGGTCTACAGAGCGAGTTTCAGTACAGTCTACGAAGCCACAGAGAAATCCTGTCTCAAAAAAACAAAAAAATATATTTGGATAAATTTTGTTCAAATATAAATATAGAACTCTTGGTAATGTTAAGCAATAATTTAGGACATGTTACTGTTTCATTTTAACCTCAGCTAACTATATATGTTATACATTTTTTTCTGTTCCTCATGTCCATATTTAGAACTTCATTAGTAAAATTTCCCATTTAAAAAGAATTTGTTTCTGTTCAGTCTTTTAGAGCAACTGCCAACACCAAACGTGGTCCTCTTGAGACAGCTATTCCAGGTCTTACACAGCATTGAGAGACATTCGTCAACTAACTATATGACATCTTATAACTTATCTGTGTGTATGGCACCCAGTCTTCTGTGTCTGCCTAACCGCAGCATGTTGGAATTAGAAAAAGAAATCTCAAAACAGGTAATGATATGTATAACTTTGTGCTTTGGTTCAGTACAATGTTCTGCCCTGATGTTTTGTAAGGAAGGTTCTCTTATCCATTTCTTCCCTGTAGGAGAGACGTAAGAGTAATCATTTCTGAGTTCGGCACCTTCCTCGTTCTATAACAAAAATAGATTAAACTATTCTATCTGGAGATGAATTGTTCATCTTCACCCATTTTTCAAATTTCTAACTTGTCAGTGATTGATCCTATAAATTTTCAACCCATGAGAAGAATATTTTAAATAGAGTGCCTGATCCAACAAATTGTTTACTTTTGTGAGGAATCAGAAAAGAATAAAGAGAAGCTAGGGACCCACCCTATTATCCATCTCTAGGCCTTGCTTCTTCCATCAGACCTCCACGTTAATCCAGGATCAAGCCTTCAACATGTAAGCCTCTTGGGGGACATTGAACACTAAACTAGGGCACATTTCATCTTTCATAATGGAAGAAGAAGCCAAGCAAATCTTCTAGAATTTCCTTGAAGTAAAAGTGGCTAATCAATTGACTAAGCTCAACTAAACAGGCAGCTGCTGAACACCAATACATGGAGGCAGTGATGGTGTTTCTTTCCAGATGCCTTCTTCCTACACAGAAGACCCAGGGAGCTCTGCTGCCCAAAGTATACACAATTCATGTAAAACCTGAAGTTCTCTTGTTTTCCTTTAATTTGGTGGTTTGTAAATCTCAACAACAAACTCTAATCTTCATCTCATACTTTTTTCTTATTTTTGGTTTTCCGAGACAGGGTTTTTGTTTATTGTTTTGGAGCTGTCCTGGAACTCATTCTGTGGACCAGGCTTGCCTCGAAGTCACAGAGATCTGCCTGCCTGTGCCTCCTGAGTGCTAGGATTAAAGGCGTATGCCAAAAAACGCCCAGCTCACCCCATATTAGTTTATTAGTTCTCTTTCTCCTTGTAATGACACAAACACCTGAGAAAGTGGGGAGATCGATTTAGCTCACAGTTTGACCTGATGCAGTCCATTACATGTGAAATACACGTTCAGGGACTTGAAGTATCTGTACAATTGGCTGTGCAGTCAGAAAGCAGAGAACAAGGGGAGGAGTGCTAACCTGGCTTCTTCATTCACACCCTTTCTGCTCATTCTGACTTCATGTGCAAAGTGTAGACATCCTCAGTCAGGATGAGTTTTCGTCTTTAACTGATCCTCTGTACACACACCCTCACAGACAGACTTGGAGCTGTGTCTTCTCTGTGAATATAACGCCATTCTAGTAAGACGTAGCTTGATCATCATACTGAATACCTAGAACATTAACAAATTGTACTTTACTGATTGTATTTTAAGATCTGTTCTAGATACTATTGTAACTTACACAGTTTCTTTTTTTATCATTTTTTATTTTAATTTTAAATAGCTTGTTTTACATGTCAATCCCAGTTCCCTCTCCCTCCCCTCTTCCCGCTCCCTTCCCCCCTCCCTCCCACCCTATTGCCAAATCCTTCCACATAGGGGATATCTAGAGTCTGTCATTTTACTCTTGGTAGGGTCAAGGCACTGCCCTATGAGTCCAGGCTGAGAGAGCATCTCTCTTTGTGCTATAGGCACATGAAGACAGTTTGTATACCAGGGATAGACACTGATCCACAGCTCAAGGCCCCATAGGTTGCCCAGGCCTTCTCACTGACACTCACATTTGGGGGTTGTGACTGATGGAAGCAGAGGCAAACACACAACTAATCACTGAACTGAACCCAAGGAACCCAGTGACAGAGAGAGAGGAGTGATGAGCAAATTGGCAAAGAATGGGCTGGCAAAACCAGCAGAGACAGCTGATCAGTTTCTTTTTTTTAAGGTGTGCAAATTTTTTAATTTTAATTTTAAATAGCTTGTTTTACATGTCAATCCCATTTCCCTCTCCCTCTCCTCCTCACGCATCCCTCCACCATCCTCCCCATCCTCCCACCCTATTGCCAATTCCTTCCGCATAAGGGATGTCTAGAATCTATCATTTCACTCAGTGTCCAGGCAGAGAGAGCAACTCTCTTCATGTTATGGACACACGATGTCTGTTAGTATTCAAGGGAACACTGATCCACTGCTCAGGACCCCATAGGTAGCCCAGGCCTCCTCACTGACTCTCACATTCAGGGGGTCTGGTTCGGTCCCATGCTGGCCTCCCAGCTGTCGGTCTGGGGTCCAAGAACTCTCCCTTGTTCAGATCAGCTGCCTCTGCTGGTTTTGCCAGCCCATTCTTTGCCAATTTGCTCATCGCTCCTCTCCCTGTGTCACTGGGTTCCTTGGGTTCAGTCAGTGTTTAACTGTGGGTGTTTGCCTCTGCTTCCATCAGTCACTGGATGAAGGTTCTAGGATGGTTATAGACATCAAGTTCACTATCAGGAATGGGCATACGAGGTAGTCTCTACAATATTGCTTAGCTTGCCAATTGGTGTCATCCCTTTAGATTACTAGAGGTCACAATGGTACCTGATCTGTCTTCTAACCTATGTTACCCTCTTCCCCCTATTCTACCCCACCAGTCAACCTTCCTGTTCCTCCACGACCTACTCTGTCTTCCACTTCTCCCCCTCTCTATTTCCCAGGTCCCCCTCGCCCTACCCCTCGTCGTGTTCCCCATCTGTTCAGAGGATTTGCCTCATTTCTCTTCTCTTGGGTTCCATGCATATCTTTTAGGTTCTTTCCTGTTTCCCAGACTTTCTGTCAGTGGTAGTGCAGACTGACACTCTCATGATCCATGTCTAAAATCCATATATGAGTGAGTACATACCATGTTTGTCTTTTCGTGACTGGGTTACCTCACTCAGGATGGTTTCTTCCAGTGCTATCCATTTACCTGAAAATTTCAAGATTCCATTGTTTTTTCTGCTGAGTAATACTCCATTGTGTAAATGTACCACATTTTCTCTATCCACTGTTCAGTTGAGGGGCATCTAGGTTGCTTCCTGGTTTTGGCTATTACAAATAATGCTGCTATGAACACAGGGGAGCAGATGCCCTTGTTGTATGAATTTGCCTACTTTGGATATATTCCTAAGAGTGGAATTGCTGGGTCTTGTGGTAGATTGATTCCCATTTTCCTGAGGAATCTCTATACTGCTTTCCAAAGTGGATGTACAAGCTGGCACTCCCACCATCAGTGGAGGAGTGTTCCCCTTTCTCCACATCCTCTCCAGCATAAATTGTCTTCGGTGTTTTTGATTTTAGCCATTTTGACAGGAGTAAGATGGTTTCTCAATGTTGTGTTGATTTGCATTTCCCTGATGGCTAAGCATGTTGAGCACTTTCTTAAGTGTTTCTTGGCTATTTTAGCCTCCTCTATTGAGAATTCTCTGTTTAGTTCTCTACCCCACCTTTTAATTGGATCCTTTGGTGTTTTGGAGACTTGCTTATTAAGGTTTTTGTAAATATTGGAGATTAGCCCTCTGTCAGATGTGGGGTCAGTGAATACCTTTTCCCATTCCGTGGACTGCCTTTTTGTTTTGTTGACTGTGTCGTTTGCCCTACAGAAGCTTTTTAGTTTCATGAGGTCCCATTTGTGAATTGTTGATCTCAGTGTCTGTGCCACTGGTGTTATGTTCAGGAAGTGGTCTCCTGTACCAACTCATTGAAGAGTATCTCCCACTTTCTCTTCTAAAAGTTTAAGTGTGGCTGGATTTATGTTGAGATCTTTGATCCATTTGGACTTAAGTTTTGTACAAGGCGATAAACCTGGATCTATCTGCAGTCTTCTGCATACCAGGGCCCAGTTATCCCAGAACCATTTGTTGACGATGCTTTCTTTTTTCCATTGTATAGTTTTAGCTTCTTTGTCAAAAATCAAGGGTTCCTAGGTGTGTGGGTTAAAATCAGGGTTTTTGATTCGGTTCCTTTGGTCAACCTGTCTATTTTTGTGCCAATACCAAGCTGTTTTCAGGACTATGGCTCTATAATAGGGCTTGAAGTCTGGTATGGTGATGCCTCCTGAAGTTCCTTTATTGTATAAGGTTGTTTTGGCTATCCTGGGTCTTTTGTTTTTCAATATATAGTTGATTAATGTTCTTTCCAGGTCTGTGAAGAATTGTGCCAGAATTTTTATAGGGATTGCATTGAATCTGTAGACTGATTTTGGCAAGATTGCCATTTTTATTATGTTGATCCTACCAATCCAAGAGCATGGGAGATCTTTCCATTTTCTGGTATCCTCTTTTATTTCTTCCTTTAAAGACTCAATGTTCTTGATATAAAGCTCTTTCACTTTCTTGGTTAACATTATCCCCAGATATTTGATGCTGTTTATGGCTATTGTAAAGGGTGAAGTTTCTCTGATCTCTTTCTCAGTCATTTCATTGTCTGAATATAATAGGACTACTGATTTTTTGAGTTTACCTTGAATCCTGCCACTTTGCTGAAGGTGTTTATCAGCTCTAGGAATTCCCTTGCGGAGTTTTTCGGGTCACTTATGTAAACTATCATATCATCTGCAAATAGTGAAAGCTTGACTTCTTCTTTTCCTATTTGTATCACCTTTATCTCCTTTTTTGTCTTATTGCTGTAGCTAGAACTTCAAGTACAATATTGAAGAGATATGGAGAGAGTGGACAGCCTTGTCTTGCTCCTTTTTTGGAGGAATTGCATTGAGTTTCTCTCCATGTAGTTTGATGTTAACTGTTGGCTTACTGTACATTGCTTTTATTATATTCAGTTATGTTCCTGTTATCCCTGATCTCTCTAGGACCTTTATCATGAAGGGTTGCTGGATATGTCAAAGGCTTTTACAGCATCTAGTGAGATGATCATGTGGATCTTCTTTCGCAGTTTGTTTATTCGTTGGATTACATTGATAGATTTTCTAATGTTGAACCATCTCTGCGTTCCTGGGATGAAGCCTACTTGATCATGGTGGATGATTTTCTGATATGTTCTTGAATTCGGTTTGCGAGTATTTTATTGAGTATTTTTGCATCAATGTTCATGAGGGAAATTGGTCTATAGTTTTCTTTCTTAGTTGTGTCTTTGTGTAGCTTGGGTATCAAGTTCATTGTAGCCTCGTAAAAAGAGTTTGGCAGTGAGCATCCTGCTTCTATTGAGGAGTATTGGAATTAACTCTTCTTTGAATTTCTGGTAGAAT